GAGGACTGGATGGAAAGCCAGCCCGGACTTCAGTCATCAGTTGGGTTTGGGTCTTTGGTCAGGACAAAACTTCAATGAAACTGATTTGGAGTCAAATATATTTGTTGTGGCCCTAGGATCTTCAGCTCTTCAGAAAATACAAAATGAATGACCTACAGAAAGATTCACTTCTCCCAAAACTGTCCAGTGTCCACTTTGGGAGAAAAGTGTGAACAAACCCATTAGAAATAAGTATGAAGAAGCAAGTATTACAACACAAGGGTCAAAACTGGCCAACAACAGAGAATGAGCTCCATTTGGCACAGAAATTTTATTTTAAAGAGAAGTTAAATTAGACCAAAAAATTGTTAAAGAATAGTGACCAGCTATAACAAATGCGTATAAAGCAAGGATGCACTGAACTATGAAAACCATGGCTTCCAGACCATGGTTGATGGAATTTACGGAAAACAAACGTATGTGATATTGGCAAGGTGTAGCATGAGGACACTGAACAGTGGAATCAATTGTGAATTTGTACCCAAAAACTGTGTGCATTATCTAATAGGCCTGGCAAAAATGTTCCACTGGGGTTTTGAAAGCAAAACTTGGCAACAGTGAGATCATTAAAACCCTACTGCATTGAAAGACTCATCCAAAATTGTGGTGTGTAGCGGGTTTTTCATTGTTATTGAAAGAGGAAATATTCTAGGATCTTCCCATCAATAGTCCTCTCTGAGTAAGAGCTTCGTGGACGGAACTCCAGAAACAGTGAGATAACTTACAACCTCTTTCATGAGGATGTTCCTGGATAAAATAAAACCTCTCCTCATTCTCCATGGTGTGGGAGCTGAAACCAGGTGGCCTGCTCAGGCTGATGGTCTGGCCCCGTTCCCAAGGGGAGATGTAGGGATGTGCACGCTTGGATGGGAAGGCAGGTACAAGCTTTGCAGTGCAGGGCTTTCCAGCTTGCTTTACACCCCAGCTGGCTGAGCACTTCTTAGTAATTTAATGGCACACTGTTGAGTCCATCTACTAGCAAAGGATGATTAAATAATAATTATAAAAAGAACACAGAGTAAGCCCCTGCCTAGAATATGAGAGAAACTTCAGTTCTGGCAGAGTGACTTGAGTGAAGAAGATGGAGTGGGACAAGAAAGATTCTGACTCAGTGCTGCTGTGTCAGCATAAAACCAGTCAGGAGTATGTACTTCCACATACCAGTACTCATTGGTGTAGAAATGGTGATGTGGAAGTTTCACCAGCCAAGAATAGTAAATAAATGTACCGGGGAGCGTTCCTACATGTATTATCTGTGTTTTAGGAGGGCAACGAAAACAACAGGAAATGTGTTTAAGAAAAAGCTGTCAAGCTAAGCCCATAATGTATAAAAAGATAAAAGAAAGTCTATTTTAGTGTCTTCCTTTGACAGATGCTTCCAAGGATATATTCTGAGAAGTGCTCCAGCACAAGTCTGCCTCCAGAAGGACTTTCAGACTAGAAAATGAAAACGTTTCTCACTGTTTCTGACAACCACATTTAGTCATTAGAGGAAGAAATGATTAAAGATCTCTGTAATTTCCAATTGTATTGAACGTAATTTCCTATTATATTGAACATAATTTCCTACTATATTGAACATAATAATCTCCAGTCAAAAAGAAAGGTTTGATCCCACCTGAATATAAAACGCTGTATTTCAGCAGACTAGCTACCTTAATATGAGTTTTCCTTTTAAAGAACAGATCAGATTTATCACTAGTGATTTGGGCAATGACCATGTCTATGTCACCACTTATCCCACCTTGCTAACACACAAGAAGCGCAGTGCTGCAAGCACAGGGCTACATAAAACCAGTCAGTAAATGGAAAGGTGTGTTGAAGTGTGTAACTGCTATGCAAACCAATTAATGCCTTCACCTCTGTTATGGCTGGGCACAAGTAACTTCTTTTGGAGCTCAGATATGCTGTAGAAGCAAGGGGGCCACCAACCTGCTCAAGCATCCCAGATATCAACTCCATGCAGATAGACTTGCCCTGAAAATCTTATTTAGTGCTGGGGGGGCAAAAATCAGTACTGTATTGCTGTAGTGAACACCACTATAAAAATACCTGACATTCAAATCCAAGTCACTTCATAAAAATAACTTCCCCACTAACATTATAGAGAGTCTAGTTCATAATCTTTGTCCTACTTAAAACACACACATCAGGAATAATTTATGAAGGAAGACACATGCATATTTATAGTAACTGCAGTTTTACAAGCCCTGTTCACCAAAGCTGCAAGATTTGGGGAAACAGGAAAAAAAGCAGCGACAGCAGCTGCTTCCAGGCAGCGTGGCACACAGCAAAGCCCCAACTTTGCCCAACAAGCAACACGTTAGCCCTTTGTCGATCATCTGATTGTCAGGGGCTGTTGATTTCATTAGCAATCAGCCCTGGTTGTGTGCATTAAGACCAGGGTAAGAGGCAACCTTTAATGCACGTAGATATGGACAAGCCCTTTATAATCTAGTTTGGATACATCTGATGCTATTCAGAGGGTTACTGGGTTCTCTTTTCCAGACTTTAAGTGTAATAATGGAAATATTTATTCACTGAATTATGTACATGGTGCCCACTAAGCACTATATGAAGAGCACTCTGGAACAGACTCCACGCATGTATGTGAAGTCTGTGGTCATTTTCACATACCCATTTTAATTAATATTTACACCAAATTAGGGACAAATTAGCTCCCTGCCGTGTTCATGCTAAGAAGAGGGAGCTTCAACTGTGGTGCAGTTTGCCCAACCCAAATACATCCCACAACACCCAACGACATCGAGGGACGTTTAAAAAAACAAGAAATACTTATTTCAGCCTGCAAGCATCCCTTCTGATATTTTGGCAGATGGTACCAGCTCTGCACCCTGCAGCTCCCTATGGCAGTACCACCTCCAGCCCCGTTCTGCAGGGAGCACAGGTGCAGCACAGCATGCCTGAGGACTAACAGGGCTCCTCTCGCAGGAAACAAAATATGTGCCCCAGCAGGTAGAGCTGGACATCATCCCCTTGCTCCAAGCATGCAGATGTAGAGGGGGGTAAATACAAAGGTGAGACAGACCAAGGTCTGAAATACGTCTCACAGAGTCAGTGTCCCAAGAGCATGAGCAGCTGGTTAATCTGATTAAAGAAAATGGAAAAACATCTTGATGGTGACACAGCCACAGGGTGATCAGTGTGCAGTAGAAGCCAGAGAAATATGTATCACCCACAGAACTCAATTAACTAACTCCACCGATACCAGAAAAAAAGCAGGATGCAACCCAGTGTGGCTGTTCCATGCACAGCTTGGTGGCACCCACCTAAAGCCACCATCCTCAACTCCTCCTGGGACCCAGCATGCTGGAGGTTCCCTTCCCACACATGCTGGACAATGCAGACACCAGCAGTATGATTAAAAGTAGTGGCATTATCCATGTATAGGTATCTCATCTTTATTTTGAATGGAAAAGAGCCCATGAGGATGGATTCCTCACTCAATCTATTATACACCGTGGGCAATACATGGCCCAGGTTCTTCTCAAAGTTTTTTTTCTATAATGGAAAAATATTCACTCTTCCGCAAACGCTGGCATTCAACCTCCCAGCTGGATAGTTTCAGATAGAAGTACAGTGAGATCTCTGAAGCTACCTTTCTAACAACTCATGGGTGACTGACACAGCCCTTCGCTAGGCTTGTGCAGGGAGGAGAGCCTTGGCTCCCTAACAGCCCTCCTCCACCTTCAGCCAGCTCCACGAGAGCAAACATTTTTGTAAAGCTCCCTTTGAACAAAGCAGCCAGCTCCAATGCATCTTTCCACCTGGGCTGTCTCAGCTGCTCCCCATTAACAAGTCACGCACTTTATGACACAACAACAGGGCTGCCAAAAAAAGGGCTTTTTGAACCTATTCCTGCCCTGCGAAGCTTGATCATCTATAATGCTTGGTACATGCATTATTCAGATAATACTATTTACTGCTGCAATGCCAATTGCCAGGCTAGTGCAGCTTTTTGGGACTGAACTCAGAAGTGAAGGGCTGTTGAGGGCATTTGGCAGTGCACAAGAAGAAGTGACAGCACCTCCTGAGAGCAAACCTCCAGACCTCAAAGCCAGCACCATGGGCAAGCAGCAGTCCTGGTCCCACAGAGCTGCTGCTTCTGGGCCAGCCCCAGGAGCTGGGTAGAAACACAGTGCATTCTTCTATTTTATATCTGGGTTTGGCTTCTGGAGTATGCTGCCAAGCTGTATACTTCAGGGAGAAAGACAATACAGCTATTTAATCTGCATAGATTAGTCTCAGCATGAACTTCAATCCTGGATTTTCTTGGGTAGATCTAGGATGGGGATTTCTTTTGTTAGCTGATGAGTAATATAAAAAGAAGGTCTACAAGTCTACTGCTTAGGAAAATTAAAGAAATCTAAAGTCACATTTATGATTTTATCTCTCCCCCCCCTCCACTCCCTCCATTACTGACTGAAAGTACAGTTATTTATAAACACAAGCTAGTAAGCAATAAATCCCTTCTTGTTAAAATAAGTTAAACCATTAATGGCATTATAGCTTTTTTTCCTTTAACTGCCACCTGTCTACTTTCCAGGTTGTAATGTTGTAATGAAAGAAAAAAAATAAAGCTATTTTCTGTTCTAAACACACATTAAAACACTCACTGAGAATAGGTAATACTTAAACAGAAATAACTCTATGAGTTCAGAGCTCAACATTGAGTCAGAAAGATTTTTTCTTGCTGTGAGCATGATATTTAAAATAGGGCAAACCAGAAACAGATGCTATCTTACAGTATCACAACCAGACTACAGAAAACATCATTACAGCAACCCTATCCGTCTTGCTACTTAACACCAAGCCACTATCACACTTAAGGAAAATTAATTACTTTGTAGATGGAGGTAAAAATCCCAGCTGTTATAGAACACAAGGTAATCCTCATGCCAATGGCAATGTGGAGTTAAGTAATGGAAGAAAGGAGTGACCTGCACAGAAATCCACTGCTCCGCTGGAGTCTGCCTGGGCTGGTTCTTCAGGGATGGACTTCATGTTCCTCAGAGATACCCCTGAAGCAGCTGGGGGGTTATGGCCAGGACCCACAGGGCTCTGCATGAGAGGCAGCTGGGTGCCTTATCTTCTTTTTATTTATGTGAAGGTTACAATGGCAGCAGACAGCAATGCATAGACACTAAATTAATTAAGCTGTTTTTAAGCCACGGCATTAAGGTGATGTCATAAGAACCTGCTTAGGATGGCAAGGTCACTGCAGAGGGGTAGCACATGCCCAGTAATAATAGAATTTGTAGTTTGAAGGATTTATCTTGGATGCCTTGAGTGGATTTGTCAAACCACTCGTTTTGCAAAATACACACCACCTGGAGAACTTTTTCCAGCCATTGACATATCCAACAGCATCTCTGATTTAAACAGGAGAAGAGCTGATTAACCTAATTCAGCTGTGAGCAGCATGCATTATATGCTCAGGAATGCCTAAATAGATACCTAAACACTAGATGTCTTTGGAAACACAAAGAACTGGGAAGAACAAAATACTATAGCTCATTAATTTAGTCCAGAGTGAGTTTGTGTTTGCATACAAGCAGGCTCAGGCATACGTATGCTGGTGGACAAAAAATCTGCTCATCTTTCTCTTGGGATATTGTGTTATCATTTTGCATTGATAGCATGATCATGTTGTACAACTGATCATGGGACATTTTCTCTATTTCCAAAGCAACTAGTTTTGGAGAAATAAAGAAAAGCAACAACTTGTTTTGATTTTCATCATAACCTTACAAAAATATCTATTTTAGGGAGGCTCAAGCAGAAGAAATAAAGCTCATGGTGTTGCCTCACAAACTCTTAATGATACTATTGCCTCATTGTGAAATGCTTCAGCTAGGAAATGTTGAGCATCTGAACTGTAGCCATAATCCCCTCATACAGAAGCCTTTTCTGCAGCTCATATGGAGTAAGTACAAGCTGTGTCTTTGGCATTAAAGGAATCGGCTGAAGTGAGTAATGCTTTGTGTATTCTAGGGCTGCGATCTCGTAAACGTGGTAAAAAGATGGCAGCATTGGTTTTTCTAAGCGGTCGGTCCCACATGAGGTGAAGTGAGTCAGAGCATTTGAGAGGGATGGGAAGCCTTCAGAAAGGGGCTTTTGTTCCTTGTCTCCAGCCTCTAACAGTCACAGTGAAATCGTCTCTGCCATCTACCTCTTAGCATCGACATCAGTGGGGCTGTTGTTTGAGCAATGCTTATGAATATAAGCAAAGGTCACACAAGGAGACTTTAAAATCAGGATCCTTTTTTTTTTTTTTTTTTTTTGCCAAGCTTAAAATGGCCACATTGATGTCCCACCACTGTCTCCCATAAGGAAATGCTGGAGGCAGCTGGAGACAGAGACGGGGATCAATTTGTCACCAGGAGCTTTACAGTAACAACTATTTATCCCTGTCTGCAGTCCTCGTACAAACAACTGAAGAGAAACATTTCTATTCACTGCATGGCAGCCTACTACCCTTTCTTCTCCTGATAGCTGTTACTTGTAATTGCAGCAAGAATAATATCCTGAGGGCTTTATGCTGATCTGCTGGATTTGAACACCACTCTCTCAATTTACAGCCTCTACATCCCCACCGCAAGACGATCCCACGCCATCGCTGCTGCCCAATAAAAGCTCATAAAACAAGCTTAGGCCTGCGTATATTTTACCACCAATTTCACACGAGGAATTCAATGCAAAATCTGCGTGGTAATCTCTGCTCTGCTTTGCGTGCCACGGGGCAGATTTCGTGCCGCTTTGAGTGTGACAGAGCAGCACCGCGGGCGATGAGCTGTGCGAGGCCTGATCTCGGGCAGCGTGTGCCAGAGGAGGGCTGCACTCTATTAAGTGCTGCTTCTCGTAGCATCTCAGCGTTTTCGAGTGCTTGGAGGTTATGTGCTAGCTGTGCTTCAATGGTGCGTAAAAGCACTTCCCATTCAAGGTGAATAGTCATCGAAGTAACAGAGAAAATTGTTAAGTGCTGTCACTGGAGCCATCTTTGCTTTTTAATATAAGCGTTAATGCAATGCCCTGCCACACATCGTGTGGGGTTTACAGCCCGTTACTTCCAAATGCTGACTATAATGATAAAAACAAATACTGCGTTTCTCACAGGTTTCCATCACTGCGGTAAAATACTGGATTACGTCATGATCCCTGGGGCTGAAGGTGGAGGATTTTGCGCAGAGGAACAACCAGACTATCAGAAGATGCAATCCCCCTGATCCCATGCTGGCACTGAGGGGAAACTGGGAGCAGGGGTTCAGCAGCATAGCAGGGGGTGAGCACCCCTGTTCTCCCCTCTCTCACCACCTGAGGATGTATGTTGGGCGAATGAACTACCTCATATATATATATATATGGTGATAGATAATATATCGTATATATTATATATCCACACACCTGTCTGTGGGCACCACTGCACTTGCAAGCCAAGGGCACTTTGAGCTGTACCCATCCATATCAGGAATCCCAGCATTGCCCCATTTGGATTTTTTTAGTGGCTCACACATAGTGCTTCATACAGGTTTGTTGAAGTAAAAGGCCAAAGAAACGTGGGCACTGCTGCTAAAAATAGCCAGTTATGCCCTCAGTGATGCATTTGCTGGTGGGGAGTGCCCATACGTGCCTCCCTATAAACAGTCTGTTCTCTGGCTCGATATTGTCCGTGCCAGCTTGTGTATGGCTCTCCAGTTCTGTTCAGTCTGTTTTTCTATGGGTTATATCTTCTTTAGCTAAATATATTAGGGCAGTCTATTTATCTCCCTCCGTGGCAGCAAGACCCAAGCATGACTTCCTCCTGCTCTGGGAATGTCATAAATAAATCACTGTCCATTAATTCTCTGGGAGCATATAACATTTCAAAAACAAAAACAAAACAAAGCAAAACCAAACCAAACCAAAGCAAGGAGCTGTCCTTTTCTCAGGTTAGATTTGCTGCGACAGTAACAGAAAGAGGAGCATGTCGTTAAACTTCGTTGGCAGACATCTTGGCATCGCTCTGATTTATGCAAGTAATAAATAATTGTACCGAATGGCTTCCCGAGGTACAGCTAATTCCTTGAAAGAAGCCCTCACGTGATTTAACTCCCCATCCCCCAAACAAGCACAGTCAGGATGCTGACCAGGATTTAAATCACAGTGCTGTAAACTGCCACGGATGGGGAGAAAATGAAATTGGGGCCTCTGGCATCACTGGTAGTGCCAGAGACTGTTTATGAACATGTAACTCAGCTTATTGATAAGCATTTTGACCCTGAGATGGGCCCTTCAAGGGACAGCTCGGGTGGCTGCAGTCGCATGGCACGGTGATGGCAGAGAGCAGGGTTTTGGCCGGTGTCTTTTCGGAATATGAAGATGGTGCAGAGAATTCACAGCCCTGTGACACCAGGACCAGTGGTTCCTTCCATTGCTCCTGGCTCCTGATAGGATCTCATGTTGGACATCTTTTACCTTTTGATTAGTTGCTCACTCATTACTAATAAAAGCTGGTTTCAATTTTTGTTGCTAAGGGTCATTTTGGAAAGTATTTAGGGTTGGGTAGAACTGGGGAATAATAATGAAATCCTTCGGGTACAGACTGAATATCTTGTCTCTTCAGTTTAGACAAGCCACATAACCAGATTTATTTTTTTCCTGTAACAAAATAGTATTTTACTGATACATTCACTGATAATATTTGGCAGCTTCCTTTCTTATTTTTCTCTGTAGACACAATCTGTGTTATGAAATGTCTTTACTGCTGTCAAGGGTGGTGATTTCTGTAGCAGGTCTGCACATAACATTAAGTGTGCTATTTGGAGCAAAATGAGAGATAGCAGCATATTTGTTTCCCCACTGGTAAAAGTTTTCCCAAACACTCCCTTTTCCAACAGCACGTTCCTGATCCATACTGTACATGCTCAGACTGCTAACATCATGTTAACAAGGCAACATCAGGGAACTTTTCATGTATCCAAGTTTTCCCTCAAGAGCTGGGCATACACATTTCCAAGCTCACAGAGAAAAGCTGCTGGCTTCCAACAGCCAAAAAGCACAGCAAGACTCATATGCTGTGGCTCCCTCTGAATGAGTAAGCAGCCGAAAATATCTCTTGCATTTTCTTTGGCAACTGGGGTTACAGAGAATATTTATCCTCCTTTCCATATTTTCTGTGAACCGAGTAGTGGAAGATCACTGCTAACACAAGTGGAACACAGACTTCAGTTTTTACGTGCTGTAGCTGGCTTCATCTCACACGGAACAGCTTTGAAACACTGATAACTTCACTCGTGACGTACTCTGCTCTCTTCTTCACAGCACTGGATTTTACAGCAAGTGCTTCTCTTTTTGTGTAATCTGGCCTTATCTTGGTCCTGCTCTTAATGCTCTTCACTATCAGCCAAGGCATTAATCTCTAGACTGTGTCCTAAAAACATTCCTGGAGAGGTGATGGAAGTACGTATCAATCCTGTTTTTCAGTCCATGCCATAAAGATTACTTTTGTGCCAGACACAACAGGACACAGATACACTTGTCAGTTGATGCGTGTTTGTATGAAAAAAAAAAAAAAATGAAAAGAAAAATAAAAGATGATATTTTGAGTTTTTAGGAATGAGAACCTAATACAGTAAGACCAAATTAAGCTCACTGAAATCAGGGAAAAGATGTGAATGAGCAGTGAGGCAGAGTCTCAGTGCCTATCTTCAGACAAAGAAAACTAGGCAATGTCCATGCATTGGACCCTTTAGCCTAGACTGCTAATTGCTGCCGAATGGGTTCACTTTAAACGTGGAGCTTCTTTTCTCAGGTCCCCAGAATGAATTCTCTAAACCCTGATATCCAAAGCTTATGTGATAGCTTTAGTGTTTACAGTAAATGAGAAAAATGTTTGTCTGCTTGCTGGCACTTTTGCAGCAGTTCTTTCCAAATAAAAAATATAATAATTGGATGTACTATTATATTAAGTCAGTAAGTGAAGTTCATAGAAACTCCCTGTCCAGAAAAAGAAAAGAAAGTCTATCTGCCTTGTAACAGCCAGAGCCTTTTCCAGCAATCAATCGCAGGCAGCGCGGGCTAGCAGGCAGGGCAGGAGCGCCAACGTCAAGCCCTGCAGGCAAGCCAAGAAGGGCTGGGGCCTGGCAGGGGACCAAGTCTTCCCCTGCACAGCCACACAGGCACCGCTAGGGAAAAGGTTGAGGGGCTGCTAATTTCTGCACGGCTTCCTAAACGCTGCTCCGCTCGGTCTTGGCACAAGACGCAAGCCAGAGCCTGCTCCTGCAGGACTGTGACTTGTACGTCAGTGCCCTCTTTCCTTTTGACAGAAGGAAGGAGGCAGACGACCCAGGCTCACACATACATGTGGCAGTAACATGCCCCAGAGCAGTCCTTAGCCACCCTGCCACTTTATAACCCAAACGTTAGGATACCCTCTGCGGGAGGATTTGGACCCTCTCGGGGTGTGTAGGATAAGCACAAGCACTGCTCTGCCCCGTCCCTTTGTCAGTGAATGGAGCAAGGTCTAAGCATCCCTAAAAATGGGCCTCTGCCCTTACTCAGGAAAACCTCCCTTTCA